TCGGTAAAAATTATGCCATTTGTTTTTAATAAAATCCCATTTTTTTCCGAAAATGCCAATAAAATGACATTATTACTCTTCATTATACCAATAAAATGACATTATTACTCTTCATTATACCAAAACTCTGATTGAATCTGCCATTATTATGGCATTACTAAAAATTGTTGGCATAATTTTTTATAAAAAAAGTAAAAATCCATAAAAAAAAATGGATACCTTCCCACTGCCTCCAAGCACCACCACCTCCGATCGGTAAAAATTCTGCGATTTTTTATAAAAAAAATGTCATTCTTCTCAATAACGAATTCAGTCAGTAGGTTTGACTGACAGAATCAGTTGGCGTCGCCAACTTGGCGGGTTGTTAGAATATGTTTGATAATTTAACTATTTGGCGATAACAATTAGTAAAAATGTCATATTTCAAAATGCTAACCCAAACGCTAGCCCACAATGCTAACCCAAACGGTAGCCCAAACGCTAACCCAATTAATAGAATTGCAACGTTTCCATTTCAATAGTACTATCCAAAAATGTCATGTCGATCATCTATTTATCCAACAACGTTTTCATTGAAAACCCTAAAAAGAATCCCATCATCATTTTTCTGCTAAAATGTCATTTTTTTTTAAACACATCCGAGCCACGCCAGTCACCTTCCTGATTTTTTTATGATAGAAAAATATTGCAATATTTTAATGAGGACAAAATAAGAGATATAGTACAAAGTAGCCCACCCAACACAATTTTGTACTCCGTACACAACAGGAAAAATAAGGGATATAGTACAACAAGTAGCCCGACCACCACAATATTGTACATTACGGCCAGATAGATATATAAGGACATCTCTCTTGTATACTCTAAAAAATTAATACGTACTAATGCATATATACTACTTCTGTCCCATTTTATGTGTCTTAGTTTGACTCGACACGGTTATTAATGAAGTGGTTGAAAAAGTAAAAGTTGTGGTTGAGATTTGAGTTTAATAAAGTGAAATGGTGTAGACCACATATTTCTTTCCAAAAAAGGAAAGGAGACACTTATTTTGGGACAACCCAAAAAGGAAAGTAGACAGATAAAATGGGACGAAGGGAGTACTTCTTTCATATTCCGTATTTTTTATTCTCAAAATAGAACTAGTTATTGTTATGTTTTGGCAATTTGGGATTTTAAAATGAGTATTTTCAAACTTAACAGTAATTACTCCTATTTTGGAAAGAAAAAACATGACAGTCTTATTTCGGAACCTTCAAACTTTTTACTTTTATTTCGGAAATTTTGAGTTTTGACTAGAGAAATTGCCTCATATAGGAGTAAAACTTGGGAGAAATTCTTAAATAGGAGTATGTATGTTTTCTTCCCCAAATAGGATCATATTACTCCTATTTAAAACATACAAACTTTTCAATTTCATTCTTGCCCCTACTATATTTAACTCACGATCTATCTACTCTTACGCACCATCTTTCTCTCTCCTCTCTGCTTCTCTGTCGGTCAGTTTCTTTTCCCCTGCAAAGATCGTTGGCTTCTTCTTCTCTACAAATCAGACGGGTCAACTTCTTCTCAACACGATGTCATATATGTTGCCGCTGCACGCTGCCTACAAATAACGTTTCTTCTCCTTCTCCTAATCTTCCTCCTCCTATTATTGTATTTTTCAGATTTTTCTTCAATTCCTCTGTTTTTTGAGTTTTAGCATTAAATTTGTTGATTTTAGGACGTATATTTCGTATTTCCATTTTTTAATTTCTCACACTTTTATGCTTTTCTCAAGTTTTGGATGATGGCATAAATTTTTGCCAAGTTTATTGCAGAAATGTACACAATTGTATTATGACAAAATTTTGGTGTAAACTGATCTTCTGATTTTTATCATTTGCATCTTGTTTTTGATTGAGCTGGATTTGTTAAAGTGGTTGTTTCATTTTGTTAAACCGGAATTTAGTTGTTCACTTCATATTTTGCCAGGATTATGGCAGATTTGGGCGAATCTGCCAAGAAAAATCTGCCAACATTTTGACAAATTTAAAAATTCATTTTCATGGCAAATTTGTCTTTAATCTTCAGGGATAAATCTCTTAACTTCATGGCAGATTAATGACACCGGAGTAGGGATGGCAACGACGATGCTCACAGGTGAAGTGGTGGCCCCAAAATTGACACTTGCGGCAATTTTAATAAAAGACAATAACAGTGCTACAGTGTCGGCGGCGTAGATTGGGCGGCAGAGACGGAAGGGGAAGGTGGCGGCGGATAGAGACGACGGTTGGGTGGAGATAGATGGCAACACCGGTGTAGAAGGCGCCGAGGCGGAGGCGGGCGGCATCGGTGTGGGAGGCTGAGGCAGGCTACACCAGCAAATTAAAGGTTGCTGAAGTTCTACACCAATGTTTTTTTTCCCGATTCTCCAGTGTTCGTTCAATTTCAGCTTGCGTATGTGAAATACAAAAAGGTTATTTTTGTCAACTTGGTCTTAAAAGGCTCCTATCAAACACACGTAACATTAATACTCCTATTTTGGCAAATTATAAACTTTTTACTCCTATAATGATAATCAACTCTTTTGACTAACATATATTGGATGTATGATTCATAAAAATGAGTCTTATATTATATTTAACTGAGTATAACATTTAGAAAATTATGACATGGTATTATAATGAGAATAACATAAATTTCAAATGAGTGTGTAATACGTAATTAGGGCAGAGCACGGGTCGGGTTCGGGCGGGTCGGGTTCAAAAATGGTAAACCCGTTCGGGTATCGGATTGATAATTTCAAACCCTACCCGATCAAAAAATTTATCGGGTTTTTCAGGTTGAAGAAGTTCGGGTTTTGGTCGGGTTGGTTCGGTTTTCGGGTCCATTCGGATTTTAATTTATTATTGTTGAAATTGTGATAAATAAAATGGTAATTAGTAAAAATATCATTCAAAGTTATACTAGTATAACATTCAAAGTAATAGTTGTATAAATATGGTAATCGACATATTTGAACATGTAAAATAATAATAATATACGGTGATTGACATATTTGATATTGTGATAAATAAAATGATAATTGGTCAAAATATCATTCAAAATCATAACAATAGAACATTCAAAGTTATAGTTTTACAAATACGGCAATTGGAATATTTGATATGCATAATATGATAATTGGCATACAATAATTGAGATATTTGAAATGCATAATAATTCAAAGTAGTATATATACTACCTTAGTTCGGGTTTTCGGGCGGGGCGGGTAGCATAATTGGTAACCCTACCCGCTACCCGCTTAACTCTCGGGTTGCAAAAATCGGATCAGGTTTGAGTCATTCGGGTCGGGTTATCCGACCCAAAAAATAAAATCGGATATATCCGATCGGGTCAATCGGGTAGGGTCGGGTTTGCTCTCCCCTATACGTAATATTGTAGTCTTAACCCCAATTAGAAATAATGCCTAAAATATAAGCTACAGACTATGAAATGACAATTAACCAGCCACTTCATTAACTAAAAAGGTGATCATTCAAATCCGATTTATATACAAATACCAATCATAAATTGTGTAAAATCAAAGTTGAAGAATTGAAGGGCGATGCGTAGTCACGGATATAAATCGGGTAGGATTTGTAAGAAAATACTTTTATATATTCATGTACACCGAATTTTATAAAGTCCTACCTCCGTCCCATTGACATTAGTCCATGAAGGGGTGACACAGTTATTAAGAAAATTCAGTTAATGCACATGATATTGAATTAATAAAGTAAGAATAAAATAAAAATGATTGAGAATCACACAAATTTTACCTGGTTTTGTATGAGACAAATTTAGTAGAATTTCTCGAAAAAGAAAAATAGGACAATTTTAACATGACGGGGGAGTACGATTTTTTAGATTTGGTGTGATCTTGGGCCTATCGTGGCCTCTCCCTACATCCGCCCTTGGTTACATTTGTAGAGAAGAGTCGTGATAGGAAGTGAGAAGTGTTGGAAAATGTGTTAATGAATTGCATTAAATAGTCATTTTGGGGCAATTTTTTGAGTAGGGTCCACTTCCAATTTGGGTCGGGTCAAAGTGGTTTCGGATTGTCCTTTCTTAGGTCTACAATTCGATATATGATACGCTCAAAACGGATAACGGGTGAATGAGAAATTGATTCTCGAAGTTCACTTGTTGAAATGGAGAAGAACTAGGAAAAATGTGGGTTTCTAGTGTGGTTTTTCCCACACCGGAAAACCCAACGGAATTTGAACTCTTTATAAAGGGAACCCCCACCCCCCAAGGAGTTAAGATTCCTGAAGGGAAAGACTCTCTCGCGCGCGCAAGGGGCGGGGGTGCGAATCAAATCCCGAAACCGGAGAACAAAAAGCGCGACTTGCGTGCGCGGGCGACCTGCGGACACGAATGTCGTCCGAAAATCCTATCTTCTAAAGATAACGTTAATTTTTGTTCTTCCGGTACGTTCCTATTTTATTTTTTGCTCCATGCAGAACTGAAACGTTGCAGTATAAATGTCCAACATTCATGAGCCTTAAACAACCATTAACACACCCAAATCCTCCCCTATAAAAGGTTGGTAGCTGCTTTGCAAACATACACAATTTCACAAACGTACTGCACCTTTCTTTAGCTCGAAAAAACTCTCCAACCTTCTCTGAAAATTCCTTCTGTGTTCTAGCTTTGTTCACGTTTGTTGGAACTTTAGTTTGAGTTTCTAAACTATCGTTCGTACTTCGTAGTCATCGTATCATGGGAAACGATCGTTGCAACGCTCCTAACCTTCGGGAGGCAACAAATACATTTTAAGGAAATCGTGCGTAGCACGAGCTTTGACTAATTTCTGCTCCATCTCTTTTCTTGTTTTTTCTTTTAGTCATATATTTAATTAATTTTTATTAATTGATTTTCTTTGTTTTTCGAAACAAACCGAACAAGAAGTAATTAATGTTCTATAATTGGCACCATCAAGTGACATGATAGATGAATTTTTAAAAAGGATTGATGAAATGACTTATCTTTTATTGAGCCATTGCAAATTGTAGTACTACGTACTATACATTAGAATGGAAACAAGAATTATCAGAATGATTTATTTATATCAACTCAAGAGAACTCTTTACTTACTTTGGATCACTCCAAAAAGTTTTGGCACGAAAGTGTCTGAATTTAAAAGATTTCAAATGTGTTTCTTACATTGATTATATAATAATAGATATATCATAGTGATTTATTAGAAAGCCATCTTAGTATCATTCTTAGACATTCTTTGGGTTTGTACTCAGGAGCTGTGTGACCTGCTCCCTTCACTGTTGCAAATGTCATCTTGTTTGAGTATGTCCGTGCAAACCTATAATATTCAACAATTGATTTATTAAACGAGAAACAATGTGAACCATACTCGTAAGGAATACGGAGTACTTCATTTAATTAGAAATTTGTATTGAAAAAAATGATAGTACCTATTATTATTATTATTATTATTATTATTATTGGTGGTGGTAAAGTTCTTCTTATTATTATTACGGATCGGAGTATTATTATTATTATCATCATCATCATCATCATCATTATCATTATTATTATTACTATTACTATATATTACTACTACTACTACTACTACATACTACTACTGCTGCTGCAGCTGCAGCTGTTGTTGTTGTTTTTGAACATTTGTTATTGTTATTATTGTTGTTGTTGTTGTTGTTATTATTATTATTATTATTATTATTATTATTATTATTATCATTACCACTATTGTTATATATTATTATTATAACAAAAATTATTATTACAATTATCATTACAATAATAATAATAATAATAATAATAATAATAATAATAATAACTATTATTATTATTATTACTAATATGATTTTCATCATCATCTTACCCTGCAACTTGGTCTTCAACCATCCATGGCCGCCACTCATCAATAATGGAATAGTTTAGAGATCGTATCCATGCTTGTGTCGAAATGTAGGTTACAAGAAAGTCGTGATCGCCACTAGACATTACAAAATGGAAAAAATTGTCAGTCATAGCTGCGCTATGCATAGTTTAGTTTTAACCATAGTTAAACTATTTTTGAAAGAGTTCCTCTAATTGAACTATCTCTAAAGTAGTTCCTCTAATCCCTTTATGAAAGTTTACTTATCATAAGAGCTAATTGTGATACATTGATAAAAACAAACGTAATATAGAAACTTGTGCATTTTCTTTCTTTTATATAAAAATGAACAGATTTGATAATTATTTATCATAATTAATAATAAACCTTCGTTTTCAATAATAACTCCATTTAATTTTGATGTTACTCTTGCATCCATACATAAATTGTATATGGATAAAAAATGTGTGGTGCTGGAAAACGCCTAAACAAATTACTCTAAATAAGAGTAAAAGCATTTGAGAATTCCAAATTAGGATTGTAAAGTTTTCATTTCCTAAAATAAGGTAACTATTGTCATGTTTTAGTATTATCGGGCTTCAAACATGGTAATATTTTCTAAACTTGACAGTAATTATTTCTATTTAGGGAATAAAATTTTGAGTCTTATATTGAAATTCAAAACCTTTTTTGCTCCTATTTCGAGATTTTCCCCAAAAAAAACTACTACCTCCGTCCCCCTACGTTTGGGACAAAGCGGTGTGGTGTGGTTTTTGACAAAAAGTAGAATTGTGTGGTTAGTATTGAATTGATAAAGTAAAAATGAATTCTAACCACTCAAGTATTACCAAATATGGTATGAGACAAACTTAGTGAGACGAACGAAAAAGGTAAAAAGGGGCAAACTTAGAGGAATGGAGGGAATATCATTTTCTCATAAAAGTCCTTAAGAGGAAAATGAGAAGAAAGTAACTAAAATAACTTATGAAGTGATTACAAAATTGGATATGTTAACGAAATCAGATAGTAAACTACAGATTTTAATGATTTTATGAAGTTGTTATTAAATTAAAAAATAACCATCGAGTGATTAGAAAAATGGACACGTTTACAAAATCGAACGGTAAACTACAGGTTTTAAAGATTTTATACTTTCAAAAAAAAAAGATTTTATACTTTCAAAAAAAAAGATTTTATAAAGATCAAGTAGAATGAAGAATCAAATTTCAAAAATTGATATATAAAGTAGACAAATCTTCATGTCAGGCCGGCCTGACGGGATGCTCCGTCCGGCCGAGCCCGTTTGGGCACCTTCCCTGTGGAATTTTTTGATGAAATTTTTTGAGCATGTTCCTCATCAAGTCTAGTTTGTCCATACCAAATTTCAGCTCAAAATTTGATCGGGAAGACATTCAAATCATTTTATGAAGTTGACTGCAGTTTTATATGTATACTTTGATGCAGTCAACTTCAAAAAATGATTTGAATGCCTTCCCGATCGCATTTTGAGCTGAAATTTGGTATGGACAAACTGGACTTGATGAGGAACATGCGCAAAAAATTTCATCAAAAAATTTCACAGGGAATGTGCCCAAACGGGCTCGGCCGGACGGAGCACCCCGTCAGGCCGGCCTGACAAGAAGACCACTCTATAAAGTAAGAGATTAAGAGTGATTGTGTTGATCAAGTGAATAGGAACTAGGACAATTTTATCGGGACGGAGATAGAAATACTAAAGGAAATATTAAAAATCAAAATATCTAGTACTCAATACTTGTTAAGTTTAATATTAAAGAATATTAAGTACTACTTATACCAGAATTTCAAAACTATAAGAGGGTATCTACCAAAAATACTCATTCTATTAAAGTAAAGATCTATTTAACCTTTCGAGTGATTATTTGTAAATAATGACTTCTAATTGATAAAAATTATTTTCAACCTTACATAAAATATATCTTTGAACAATTTGTTTGAATAGTTATTATAGAAATAAATATATAATCTGTAGTAATAATAATAAGGGAAAATGTGCAAATAGGCTCATGTACTAACCAAAAAAGGTCAAATAAGCCCTTATTTAGGAGGTTCTGTACGGCCGTCGTCATTTCGGGTGGTTCCCGGTGGATTTTTTTGATGAAAAATTTTTAGCATCTTATTTATCAAGTCTAGTTTACTCATACCAAATTTCAGTTAAAACTTCAATCGGGAAGGCATTCAAATGAATTCTTGAAGATAATTGCGCTTCTAACTGCACAGTTATTTTCAAGAATTCATTTGAATGCCTTCCCGATTGAAGTTTTAGCTGAAATTTGGTATGAGTAAACTAGACTTAATGAATAAGATGCTCAAAAAATTTCATCAAAAAATTCCACCGGGAACCACCCCAAATGGCGACGGCCGGACAGAGACTCCTAAATAAGAGCTTATTTGACCTTTTTTTATTAGTACATGGGCCTATTTGCACCTTTTCCCTAATAATAATTTTGATAGTAAAAGAATAATATTAAAATAATAAAAGTCAAAATTATTCGTTTATATTTTGGCCCGCGGGCCAACCCACAACCGCGTGGATTGACCCGTGAAACCTGCTAATTAATTGGGTCAGGAAATGACAACCCTGTCCCAAATAGGTTGAAACGGGTCATCCCGCCAGTTTGGCCCCACCTTGACGGGTCTACTTGGGCAGCATAGTCTTCCTGATCTACATAGACGCAAATTTAATTATTTTGTAGAGATGGTGCGAGAAGACTTGTGAGAGATGAAAATGAACAACTTGTTAAAACGGAATGGCCAAACAAGGAGCCTCCTCATAGAAGGACAAACAATTACTCTATATTAAGGATGGCAATGGGGGCGGGGACCTGTGGGGAACCACTCCGCGGGGAAGGATGGGGTGGGGCTTGGGGTGGGGCGGGGGGCGGGGATGGGTGAAATATTTTTACGCCGTTAAAATATGGGGCGGGGGACGGGTATTGCTACACCCGCCCTGTCCCCGTTATAAATATATACTCAAACATATATATATATATATATATATATATATATATATATATATATATACACACACACACACACACACATATATATAAATAATGTAGACACATATTAAATTAAATTATTTGTAGTATATAACAAACGCATATACATATAGACATACATAATTGTATACGGTTTAATCATGGTTAATGAATTAATACATATTATACTAGAATAATAATAATAAGATAGTGATGATTAAAAATATTTATCATAAATGTTACTCCATATAAAGCGAGTAAATAAATACACACACATTTATTTGTAATATAATATGTAATTAATTGTATTATAATTGTTGAGAATTTTTGAAACAACGTACATGATGATAATATGTTTACTTATATTTTTACTTTAATTGTCTTCAATTCACAAAACTTATTCAAATTGAAGAATTGTTAAAATTGGTGGTATTAACTTTTAACAAACACAATACTTCAGTGTTGCGTGCGTGCGTGTGTATCATATATCACTGTGTGCGCGTAGATATATATAGGCTTAGGATCAAATGAGAACAACGTTTAACATGAGAACGTGCGAAAACCACATTTACCCCAATGTGAAGCAGCTCGCACAATGCACTTTTTTGTATCTAGCATAATATTTACAAAAGTTTCACCGTGATTATTTATATTAGCTTGTATTGAGCGAAGTCTAAATGTGCACAGTGCACTAGAATGGCTCTATTGTGTATCACATTGGATTATTGTGTATCACATTGGATTAAATGTGAGTGTTCCCACGTTAAGCATCGTTTTCATTGAAATCGCACTACATATATTTATCATAAGATATTAAAAGTATATGCAAATACGATAATTAAATTTATATGCGGGCACCCGTGGGCACCCGTGGGGGACAATGGGGTGGGGCGGAGATGGGGCGGGTCTGGGAGTAACGGAGGATGAGGTGGGGATGGGGGGAACTTTTTAGACATGGGACGGGGATGGGGAGGGTACCCCGCCCCAAACCCGCCCCATTGCCATCCCTGCTCTGTATAATTCACGATAAGCTAGGCCTAACGTCCATATCCTTGCACCACATAATGAAGTCGGCATTGACAGTTGACACGACTAACTAGGCACTCTAGTTGAATTTTGTTCGTACGTACAATCAAAGTGATTTGTGAATGGCAATAGTCCTTGATCTACCTTCCTATGAATGGATGACATAGAAGTTATTAGGATGGATTTAGGGGTGAACAAAAAAACAAAAAACTGAAACTCAGTGACAAAATGATTGAAACTGAACTGATCAAAATCGGAACCGACTCAAACCGAAACCAACTCAAACTGATTAATCATTGACGGTTCGGTTTACGGTTTCACCTTTTGTGTTAAAAAACAGACCGAACCGAAACCGACCGACAAAAGCCGACAAAAACATTCTAAAACCGACCGAAACCAGCACAAACTGACTGAAATTAACTGAACTAAAACCGACTTAAGTAGTGTGGTTCGGTTTACGATTTTACCTTTTCTAAAACCGAAACCGACCAAACCAAAAACCGACCAAACCGAACCGACAAACACCCCTAGAAGTTGTCGTCATGCCTCGAAAGTTTGCCCCCTCTTTGAAACTTTTTCGTCACCCTCGGAACTAGACGAGCTCTGATCCTCGGTAGCATACAACTCAACCTCGGTCTCATTGTTTCTGACAAAGTCTGGCAAGTCGGAGTTCACCCGAGGCGGAGACTTCATCTTGAACACGCTTATAATCTAAAGGCCCCTAAGTTCTTGATGTTTGCTTGTTAAATGTCCCACACCGGAAACATTTGGATGAACAAAGTGCTATATTAACACACGGGTTACTCCTCCTAACAGGTTGACCTTTTAGAATGGAACCCCGTGTCTTAACATGGTATCAGAGCCAAATCGATCCATGGTGTGGGACCCCTTATGAATCGTGATGACACGATTATAAAAAAATGACAATTACGGCCGGATGAAAAAAAATGGACCGATGAAAAAAAATGAATGATTGCACGATCAAGACGAAGTGTCTGGTCGTGAGGAGGGGTGTTAAATGTCCCACACCGGAAACATTTGGATGAACAAAGTGATATATTAACACACAGGCTACTCCTTCTATCAGGTTGACCTTTTAGAATTGAACCCCGTGTCTTAACATTGCTACTGGGTCATACAAGTCCCTTAGTTTAGATGCTTTGGTTGCTAGGTGACCTTGGATTCCTAAAGACCTTGAATCTAAAAATATTAGAGGTAGAAACAGAATCAGAACAAAATCGGATTGGAACTAGAATATGCGGAAACAAGAACCGGTGTTTCACAACCGAGGACGACATGATCGACTACTCTCACATACGTAGTATGATTCTTATCCCAAAAAGTGCAAAAGTGTTTTTTATACAAAAATATTACTAGTACTAAAATAAAACTTATTTACACAAATATGATTATTAGTTAATACAATGTAGTGTTATAATAACTTAAGTTAAAAAATTGAACATTCATTACTACTCTAGTCACTAATCACTTTTAAATACGTAATATTTCAATTTAAAAGTATAGCTGAATACCTGTAAATGAGTGATCTGTAGCCTCTGGCGCTGAGATTTAGATGATATGGAGTTATATCATCCGTTGTTGTAATATAATCTAAATTGCTGCTGCATCGTTTCCACTCTCCTATAGATCCCTAGATTCAGCATTATTTTCATTTTAAGCATCTCATCACGACTAATTTTTTCAATATATTCAGTGGGCGACACAATCTTTTTTAGGGCAGGGTAGATTTTGCGATGTAGAGCCCGTTTAGTAACCCTGAAATCGACTAAATCGGCTGATTCTGCTGAATTTATGAAGTTCTGGCTGATGTGGCTATATTGGCTGATTCTGTTCATTTATGAAAAAAAATTATTTTATTAATAAAATGAAGAAAAAATTATGTGAAAAGATAGCTAAAATGGTCGTCTACCGTAACTTCAACCAATATAGCCAGAAAAAGTAACTTCAACCTTATTTTTTCTTGTTATTACACAAAAATTACATGTTTGATTAAAAAAATACTTATAGTTTGATAAACCGAAAAACAAAGTCACTAAGCAGATGAAATTTCTTGAGATTAGAGCAGTGCCTTTTTAACATGGAGTGCCTCTCGGACGCTCTCATCATTCGCCCAATTTTCCGAAAAGACATAAACATCTGACTGCAAATTAGTAAATGTAATGTTTTTATAATTATTACTTGAAATATAAAATGAAAGCATTAAACAAAGAAAGATATACTTGAAATATGGCACACCCGACATTTCACTATTGAAAGAAATGGACCAGTTCTGATGAGGTCATTAGATTGCTCAAGAAGAATCCTTGAGTGGGCAAACCCCTTGTGGGACCTGAATGAACTTCCACTACAGAGGGGCTCCAAAATATGAGGTTCATTAATTTTGCCAACCACCTGGAGAAAAACAAAAACAAAATTGAAATTGCATTGCTTGAAAATGAAGTAAATATATTACTATCCCATTATAATTGTCCTATTTCTTTTTTTCGCTCGTCCTACTAAATTTGTTTCACAGCATATTTAGTAATATTTATGAGGCTATAATTCACTCTTACTTTTTTCACTTTATCAATTCGACATCAACTACATAACTCTTTTTTTCTTAAAATGACATTACTCTCTTTTGTCCCAACTTTAGAAAGAAGGAGATAGTATATCCTAAAACTCAAATCATATACTACCTCCGTCCCACTAACATTGGGACGGAAGAAGGTGACACGATTATTAAGAAAAGTGAGTTTATGTGATTGATATTGAATTGAAAAAGTAAAAACAAAGTGAGAATAATGATTTAGAGCCACACAAACTTTACCAAATTTGGTATGAGACAATCTTAGTGAGACTTCTCGAAAAGGTAAAATGGGACAATCTTAACGGGACGGAGGGAGTAGTAGTATTACCTGTTTGAAAGCTTGAACGTCGTCATAACACTTGACGTTTTCTGGGTTTATATTGGCATATGATTCCCCTTTACAGTTCTTCTTCCAAGACTATTTTAAATAAGACAGATTAGTTACGCCATTAAGATTCGAGAGTGGGTTTTATTCCCTGAATTCTTTTTGCATATAAAATTGTACCTCGAAAAGTTCATCCGAAATGAGTCCCATTCCATGCGCAAAAGGGATTTTGTAGTTGTCATAATCCGGAACCGCATATGGATTCCCAAGTACATATCCCTGTGGTTTTTCGATAATCCAATACATGTTTTTACTTCCTAAACCTTTTCCTAGGTTTTAGTTTGTATAAATTTATTCATTCTAAACCTTGATCTAAAATATAAAGAGTGGAAATTAAAAGTTTTCATTTATAAATTAGTTTCCATTTTAAAAGTGATTCTCATTATAACGTTCCCTCCCCGTAGAGAGAGTAATATTCTCGTCAATCCGGATTGACCAGAACCGCTGTGTGGAGAATCCCGTTTTATGGTCTTTCGGGTCATTTTTCTTTTATGAACGTTTTTAGCATGTTCTTCATGAAGTGTAGAACATTCACACAAAATATCATCACAAAATGTAATTCAAAAGTAAGTTAAATAAAATTGTTGAAAAACACTACGTTTTTAATGCATATTTTTTGTGCAGTGGTTTTCAACAATTTATTTAACTCGCTTCCCGATTGAATTTTTTAAGAATAGGTTGAAAATATTTCATCAAAAAAGTCAACCTGGAAGGCCCTCAAACGGGCTTGGCTACACGGCAGTTCTGTTTAGTCCGGACTGACCAGAATATTATTACACACATACGTAGTAAAGGGTGTGGTTCTAATAAGAATAATATTTAACGTGAAAACACACACATTTAAACCAATTGGCTACATAATAGAGGTTGTCTGGTGTACTTTTAAATTTGCTCAATCTAAACCAATATTAAATCATTGTGGTGGCATTTTGGTAAATATTATGCTTAACGCGAAAACGTGCAACAGAAAAGTCTCATGTGCATCATATATGGGTAAATGTGAGTGTTCTTCCGTTATCACGTTAATCATTGTTCTTATTTGATCTTGAATCACGTTGTGTGTGTGTATTATATACATGAGTGCGGTTCCAATGAAAACAATGTTTAACGTGAGAAATGAAGGTTATGTGGTGCATCTTTTAACTTTGCTCAAACCAACTCAATATTAACTGATGACATTTTAGTAAATATTATGTGTAATGCAAAAAGTGCAACGGGTGAGCTACTTTGTGCATCATATACGAGATTCACTTTGTATTATAAATATTTGCATTCTAGACAACGGGTTTTTGAATTAAAAATTCTCCTAATTCTCCAATTTTTAAATGATTAATGGTCAATACGTGTTCTCATTCACAAACAAAGACCGCTTTTAATTGATGCATCTATATGTGTGTGCATGAGAAAAAGCTAGAGTGTGTATGTATGTATTTTTGTTATGCAAAACTGCTGACCTTAATATTGATTTTGGAGCTGAATCCCTTGTCATTCTCTGCATTCACGAAAGGTTGATGAAGTCATCAGTATAATTACATATTTATTATTAAAAGGTGGGGAGAAATGGGGTCATTCCCTGAATATTACTAAATTAAAGCTGATTTAAAAAAATGTGACTACTTTTATATTTGGAAAAAAATGTGACTAAAATAAAGTGAAAGCCAAATATTTATGTCGTTGTCCCATTTTCATGTCACTGTAGGATAACACTGACAGTCCTGTCACTGCTACCGCTATCGCCGTGTCAGCAGTGCCACCCCTCTCATTTGATTCCATCAGCAACCCAAGCGCCCCAACCACCCGACCATCCCATCACAGTCCACCACTGTCCACCACCATCTTGCATTACAATCCACCACGCGGACTGCCGCCATTGACCATCGTCGCGAACCGTCGCCCCACCCCCAGCTTGACTCCCCAGCCCCAAGTCACCTCCCAAGACCCCTCCTTAACCCCGACCACCCCTAATCCCCCAGCCACCTCCCCATCCCCCAAGCCCCCATCACGATCCCTAGCTCCACCATCTCATCTCCGCATCCCCACAACACCCTCCCCCAGCCCCCGCCCAGCAATGACGCACCCGAACCCCACCCAACAACGCTGCACACTACCTTCCAATCTCGCCCCAGCAAAATTCGATCTGGAACTCAGATCTAAAAATAAGATGGAAAATCCTTGAAATTGATTTGGAATTCCAACAGAGAGGAGAAAGAGGAATCAAGTGCGGTGGCTTGGTAGTCGTCGCTAACGGGAGCCATGGTTGTGCGAAGAGGAGCACTGGATTGGAGGAGGAATGACGAGGTGAGGCGGAGGCAAGGCTGAGGCGAGGCTGGCAAAGGAAGGAAGGAAGCTCTACGAAGAAGGGAAGAAATGCATAGAAAAGGTGTTCACAGGGACGAAATGCACAAAAGAGAAAGAGGCACGGATGAATTATGTTGGGTCCCTGGGTCACTTTTGTGGAATCTTAAAGCTGGTAATATTTTTGCCCAACAAAAGCTGCGAAGTAATATTGGAGTCATTCTTTCGGGACAAATTCCTTAATTAGGAATAAAAAATCAAATAGGACCACAATTGTTCTTTTCCTAAAATATAATTGATTTACTACCAAAACTTTAATCTTTTATTAAGACCAAGTAAGTTATATTTTGGGAATAAAATATTATTAGTCCTATTGGTTAACTTTGTTTATTTGTTACTCCTCACAAATTCTTTGTAATATGTCCTTCTATCGGTTGTTCAATTCACCTCTGATTTAATCCAATCAAACTCGCAAAGGAGTTTAAATCCGTTAATGTGCATTGAACTTAATATATGCGGCCTCTCTGGTCCCTACAACAAGTAGGATTCCTTTTTCCGCCGAGTTCATTCATGTGGCGTTTCATCTAGGAGTTACAATCGTTCTTCTCTCTTTACTATTGGTTGGCTTTTATTCTGTGTTATAGGAGAGTTGTTGGTTTTGCTTGTTTCCGAATCTCTGTCCATCCATAGGAAATTGGAGCAGGGTCGAGTTGTTTCAATTTTTGAGTTTTTGCTTTGGTTTTTTCTATTTCTTCGACGTGAGCGAGATTTCTCTACCGGAGTTGGAGTACCATTACGGGTTTCCTTTGGCGATGAAACTCTAGAAAACAAGGCAGCGTTCTTTGAACTTCGGGTTGGGGGTTTTCAAAGGCAAACGTGGAGGATCAATATGGAAATTTGACACTCGAGTAAGAGGATCGGAGGAAGGGCTGGTATTTGATGAGGCGAGCAGTGTGGCGGGGGAAGAAGGAGCTTGGGCGGTTTTTCCATTGGTTGGAACTCTTATCATTGAAAAAGTGATAAAATTACATATTTTTAGGGAGGTTATAGCTTCAGGCTGCCGTCTAGGTGTTCTTGTTACAGAAAATTTGTGAGCACATGTATTCGTTTACTTTCTATCATGATGTTGATATGAAGCAGGTCCTAGAAAATGGCCCGTATCTTTTCGAACAAAATTTGCTACTGCTACAAGCGATAAGGCCAGATTATATACATCTTAGGGTTTATTTGACTACGACATATTTTTGGGTTCATGTCCATAATGTGCTTTATGGTTTTGTGACCTTAGATGCAACGTACAGAATATGGAATTATTTAGGTAAATTTTTTAATATTGATGAAAATCAGGTAGAAGGTAGGTGCAATGCTTACTGAAGAATCAGAATTAGTCCTAGGCATAGACAAACCACTTAAGAAATGGACAGAGCTTTGAAAGAACAATGGAGAGTGGTTCTGGGTTAATTTTAAATATATCAGAATGCGTAGTTTTTGTTTCGTGTGTAGAGTTATTGGTCACGCGGAGATATATTATCTGATGTAATATGAGCAAGGGGCAAAAGAATTGGCTAAACCATTCGAGCCATGGCTTAGAGCTGGAGTGGGAAGATTTGACCAAACTAGGGGTATCAAGTATCCTGGTGCAGGAAGGTGATGGGACTGCAGATAAAGATATGACAAGTACGGGGGATAGGGGGATACAAGCTAAGGTGCTTCTCAGGCATAAATTTAAGGGGAAAAAGGGCAGGGCTTGATTTTGTTAGGGACGGTTGCAAGATAGTATTCGTTAGGATTTATGTTAACAAGAAATAGTGAGGAGGGTGTCGAAGACCAGAAGAGTATGAGAACTTTGGTGGAAAAGGCGAGGGAGGATCAGGCGGGTGAAGAGATGACACTTGATAATCTAAAAAAAAAGGAAGAAAGGCAGGCCTGGGGTATCAGACCTCCGTTGGTATGTGAGGCGCTTTTCTATGGAACGATGCAACTATGGCTGCCAAGCCTCTGCTAGTAGAGGACACTTTTATTTCAATTACTCTTATCATCTTGATTTTATTTCAAACTTTGTTTTGTTGTTATTTCTTTCTATTTGCTTTAGAACTTTGAGGATTAGGGTAGGTGATGAGGAGTCTGTTTCGATCATTGTCGATGCAACTGTGTCGATTATAGGATAAGCGAGTTATATTGCTTTTTGGAATGTGATAAACTTAAAGTCTGATTCGAGAGCTGCTAGTGATCGGGATCTGACTTTTTATCTTAATGTTTCTCACCCGAGTTCTGGTTTCTCGATAATATGTCATTTTCTTCCAAAAAAATTGAAATATAAAAGTTAAATACCATGTCACTCGATTTAACACCGTGTTTTTTGCTTTTAATGTTGAATCTATTGTGACAACAACCCTGCTATAGGTACAAATTGGGGTACCAATTAGTGTACCTTTAGCATTTTTCTTGTGACAATAGATCCCAATACACCTTTAAAGAGACCAGAAAATCTGCAGTAAAATTTAATTCCAATCAATTTGATAATTGACATAGATATGATAAAATCTCACAACTACCCTATTTGAATTAAGACTTCGATTTGAGGGATTAATTTAATAATGTGAATAGGCACAAGAGCTAAAAATTTGTGAGCCCGTTTGGTGACATGGTATTAGCTTTGTTAATCAAGTTTTTCACCAAATGTGTAATTATTGATTCTACATGCTAAATTGTGAAATAATTGAAATAAATAAGGTTGATGTTACTTTCCTGACTGAAATGACTGAAGATACTGTAAATGATCATTTTAATTATTTTCATATAATTTTTTTCTTATTGTATTAATAAAATATATTTTCAATATACGTAGTATTTTTTTCATAATTTAACATAATCAACCTATCCAGTCATTTCAATTAGAATTTCACAAATTTCAACAGAATCAACCAATTTATTCAATCAATTTCAGTTTCAGTGTTACCAAATGAGCTTGTAATTGAAGGAGTGGTTGTAGTTCAAAGACTTTCCATCCAATATGATTTGAGTAATGATAGGAACAAATACGCCTGCATATGAGTCACCCGCTACATATAATGGATTTGATACAAACTCTGGATGATCAATTAGCCACTGCACAAATAGTGTTCTTCATAAATGCATAGGTATGTCAAGAGCAGTTAATTTGGCATTTTAAGTAAGCGGAAAATCCGAAAATCCAGAGATTAAAAAAAATGCATATATAAATATTGTGCCTTTTTAAATAGGGGTAATTAACTTACTGTCATCTTGAAATTTTACTTTCCTATTTTGATATGATCGCACTTTAATTATGGTGCTATACTGCAAGTGTAATACGGAGTATCTTTCAAGAATGACAGTAATTATCTTTATTTGGAGAATGAAACAAAATCTCCAATTTTGAAATTTTAAAATGCTTTTACTCATTACTTAAAAAATGTTTTTAGTCATATTTAAAGATATTTATTTTTTAATAAACATCCCTAACCATTTAACACAACTAAAAAAAATTAAGGACCTTAAGAAGAAATTCATAAGCTTGTTGGCAAGCTTGAGTTGTATTTGATTGATGAGCTGCTTTCGTTTTTGAATAAGAGAATCCCGTGCCCACCGGCAAGTCCAAGAAAATAATATTTGCCACCTAACACAAAATAAGACACCACGCAACGGAAGTAATCAGTAATCACTTACTCCATACATATTTTCTTGGTTGAATCGCCCGAATCTACGATATTGATATTGATATAATTTGAATCAGTTGAATGTGTTGATTTATGAAAAATATATAAATATATTTTATTCATAAAATAAAGAAAAAATGAATTATAAATAATTAATATTGTTTTCTACAGTAATTTCAGTCAGTTCATCCAAAAAAACTATAAACTTACTTATTTTGGTTATTCCACAATTCAACGTGTGAAATAAAAAATGGTGTGTCTGCTCTGATCTAATCTGGGTTGATTTTGTTTGAGTCTGATCTGGTGTAGTTTAATCTAAACTGATCTAATGTGGTCTCGTAGAACTCTAGTTTACACTTTCATGTATATTTTACACTTGTAAAATCCAATTAAAAACAAGCCCAATACATAAATAAGTTATAGTTATAAATAATTTTTCGTCTCCAAATTATCATCGACTACAGACAAAAATATTTATAAATTTAGGGATGGGTTTTGGCTGATTACTATTGGAGCGATCAGTTCGAATCCTTCCAAGTATATTCTTGTAACCAGATCGATTATAATTTTCCATTTTTCACTCGGAAGATCGGTTACCCTATCATCCATTCATCCCCTCTTACCCGAATGGAGGGATATGATTGTTATATTTGATGGTTTGCGGCTTTGCGCATATGTTAAGGTGTTTTAAGGTTGGCATTCAAAAGTTCGTAGAGAAATATACTTTTAATTGGTTTATACGTTAAATCTTTACACGCGAAATAATTACATGCAAAGTATAGAAAAACACTCATTTTGCATGTAAAATAGATTAATTGTTTGGCTAGATGTGTAATTTATTTTTAAATTACACGCAAAGTCGTTGTAGTACTTCATAAAAGGCATGCAAAATATTTTATCACTATCCCCCAACGTAAAATACTTTACATGGTACAGTGCGAAATGTTTTTAAAAAGTGTCTTTCAGTTTACATTAAATAATCAAACCAAACAGTGTAAACGTTTTACGTCCTTACACTTCGCATGCAAAGTAATTATTTTACATTATACCAAACGCCCCCTATGATGGCTCACTAAACTGTCTGCGCATCTTTGTTATGAAGCAGCAGTCAGTCCATGCAATTTTGGACGTGATTTTCACTATGGGTCATCCGGAAACAGTCTCCCCGTGCTTTAGTACAGGGGTAAGACTGCGTACATCTGACCCCAGGTGCGTAAACAGGGGGTGGCCAACCCTGGCCATGGCCCAGCCCAAAGTTTAAAAATGTCTAAATTTTTAGGGTAAAAAATTCCGAGTAAATTTTTTCCCAAAAATATTCTTTGTACCGGCCCAGTCCGGCTCAGTGTCCTGGCTCCGCCCCTGTCCGACCCCCTTACCCCACCGTAGGTGGGAGCCTTTGCGGCACTGGGATAAATGAAAATGAAATGAAAATGATGATTTAAGCCAACCCTAGCCAAATATTTCACGCCGGCTTTATTATCTATTTTTAAAAGATACCCAAACGTATGCTAAAACCGAGATTATGAGGTTGTCAACAGGTCATTGGGACTCATATATGATTGCTTTTTATAAGTAGAAGTATTTATATGACACTTTATTGAGTGCATGATTTTATGTGATGTTTTCATAATAGTAGAAGACCTTATTTGACTATTTTCTCGCTTTTATTCAATTACTCCCCCCATCTCCTAAAATTCTGTGATGTCTCAAAAAAATCATTTCATTTCACTTTTTCAAAAATTTTGTGTGGCTAACATTTATTTATCTTTTTCTTATTCAATCACAACTATACATTTCAACTTTTTTCTAATTTAACTCTGATTCAAATCAAAACGGGAAGGATTTTATGAGATGGAGAGAGGAGTATATATTTTGCATGTGCCTTTCTTTTGGAGTTTATAGGTTGTCAAACGGAGTAATTTGATATTTTAGTTGTGGAGTACAATTGTTTTTTATGGCGTAATTTTTGTTTAGAATGAGTATTTAAATTGAACTTAATACTTTTTGCTTAGAATGAGTATTTAAATTGAACTTTGTATCAAGGATATTTTTACTTGAATTTATTTCAATCACAGACAAAATCAGATCAGGTTAGACATGATAAGACCAGCTAGACCACACTAGATCAGCCAAATCAGACTTTAACAGTGGTAAAATATACAGAGAATAGACATTTATCAAAGCAAACTAGACTGGTTCAAACCAGATTAGATCAAAACATTTGCCCAAATAAAAAAAATGGAGTATTAATATTACTCCATAATATGTATAATTTCATGTTACGTTCATGAAAATAATGTGTGCACATTCTCTGATAGAAGATAAGTCACCGTAAACTAATCACGGAATGTCACTTTTTTGAAAAATTTGAAAATAGGTTATATTTTTGTCATCTTTTGAATTTAATTTAGTAATATTCTCGAAAATATCTACTAAATAAACCAGATCAATTTACACAACATCCAACTTAATCCGATCATACTAACATATTGAATCAAATCAAATTGGACAAAAAACATTGGGTCATTAAAAACTTTCTATACTTCCTTAGTTCCCTCCCACTAATTTCTGGACTCCAAAGTCACCCCTCAGTCCCTCACTAGAACGTAATCATGTCGATAGGTATTTTTATTGTTTAAAATATGAAATAATTACATACTGGAGTATTTATGATTAAAATAAATGCTCGCAAATATGTTAATTTTTATGCGTAGTGACAATAATACTAATTTTAGTTATATTAGTTTATATTCAATTTTTATAAGTGGCCATGACATTAGATTAAACTCGTAGTAACTTTTAATCATATATTTGCAAATAAATTTTATTTTAGTAAAAATTTTAGGAAAAACTCTTGAAATATTTCTTTCCGAACACTACAAAAAAGTTACGTGATTGACACGAATTTAATACGGATAAATTGATGATTTCATGTCAAATAACTACTGACAAAATGTAATTGGAATGAATTTGACATATTCGTCTCAAATCTTCTGTGAATTTTGACGAATCACTGTCAAAATTCTCCGTTAATCTCTTTGTTTATAGTGATAGTTGATGAATCGGTAGGGCAGGTATGTGATTAGAAAAAAGATGGATGAGTTTGACATTTTTCATAAAAATAGTACTAGTAGCAAACCTTTGTCCATGAGTTAGGTTGTAATAGCAATGTTGGCAAGTTTCCATCATAATTCTCACGGGCCAACGTAATAGGTCCTGCATGCTCAATCATGTAGGTGGGTAATGAGTATATGATGCAATCAAATATAATACCCTCCTAACTCTAACCTATGATAGATAACAATTGGTTTATTGTTTAGTTGAAATTCATTTATAACAAGTGTATATGGACTAGGGAGATATAGGGTATATTCCATCCGTATTTAATTACTTACAACCATATAGGGTGCTGTGTAAAATTAATGGCATAATCGGGGAGATTATTGAGTGGACCAGTCCAAACTCAAAAGAACATTTCCATGTAAAATGTTGCACAATTTTGTGTGTACGAAATAGATCATCATCATTACCCCTTAGCTCACCTATGGGGGTAGGGAGGGTTCAAATGTATGCAATCTTACATATGTACTAATTAAAATACATAGAATGTATCTGAATGACTTACAGTGAAATTCGCGTTCAAAATTGCATGGACTAATTGTTGCTTCATGTAACAAAGAAGCGCATACAACTTAGTGAATCACTTTGCTTTACTTCATCATATTCTCAGGTCATTTTATAAATATTTCTACAAAATTTGGGATTGGCCGCTTTACTATGCTCATAGATAGAATGGAAAGCAAATAAATTCCATGTGAAATGTAAGGAATTGATAAAACAGTTTACACGTTTGTTTGATTATTTATTGTAAATGTACAAAGCAATATTTATTTAACAATTTTATTCTGACCTTGAAAAATAATTCAGCTAGAATATGAAGAGTGGTAAAATAATAGACGCCAAAATCGAAGATTTAGTACCGATCTCAAATAGTAGGCCAGAGAGGGCAGAGCAACCGGGTCCTCCGGTAAGCCAAAGCAAGAGGGGATCAGTCTTAGGATTAGACTCAGATTTGATAAAGTAGTAGAAGAGTTGCACGTCTTCAGAATCTCCTACACCCAAATACCTGATGGAGTTCGTATATTAGTACTACGGTACAATTTTTTTATTTGTTTTGAAAGAGTGTTTGCGAAAAATTTAAAAAAACGTTTTTGAGCTTTTGGTTTTAAAGAAGCTGAAATTAGTGTTTTCAAGTGATAACTTCTGTTTAAATTAATTACTTCAAAATTAAAAGTTGAAAGCAGGTTAAGTGGTGCTTTAAACCGCTTTTCATTTTTTTCCATTACACAAAAATCACTTATTTTATCAAACACTATCAACTTTTATTTTATCAGAAACACTTTTTTCTCAAACATTATCAACTTCTACTTCGAAGTATTAAACACTTTTTCAAAAATCATTTTAAAAAATCATATTTTTAATGGTGGTTGAGCTTAAAGAACCTATCCATGGCGAGCTGGCGACCTTTAGTTTTGCAAAGGAATTGTTATCAGACAAAAGATGAATACGAATGGAGAAGAAATAGGGTAGATCAAAGGACTACTACGGAGAGTAGGGACTCCATATTAAAGGACTAAACAATATTTGAGGTCATTCAATTCTACATACCTTTTTCATACTCTTGCTAATAATTTAGCATGTTTTCTTAAAAAAAAAAAAAAAAAAAAAAAAAAAAAAAAATTAGCATGTTTTCTTTTGGACTGTTTTCAGTCCGAGGTCAGACCAGATCAGATTTAAATAGACCAGATCAAATCAGACCAGACCTAAACAGACCAGACCAGACCAGACTTCTGTAGTTATAAAATACACAGAGACCAGACGTTTACCAGACCAGACCAGACCAGTTCAGACCAGACCAAACCAGACTTAAACAGACCAGACCAGACCAGCAAATTTCAGTCCAAAAGAAAACATCCTCAATCCATGTCTAAATAAATGTTCTGCTTTTCTTCTCAAAATGTTCTATAATAATTGATCTACTCTTTACCCAAGCACTCCAGCCTAGCTGGTTGGGAGAGCACCTAGGGATGGCAATGGGGCGGGTTTGGGGTGGGGGTACACTCCTCCATCCCCCGCCCCATGTCTAAAAAGTTCCCCCCATCCCCGCCCCATCCCCGTTACTCCCAGACCCGCCCCATCCCCACCCCACCCCGTTGTCCCCCACGGGTGCCCGCGGGTGCCCCCATATAGATTTAATTTATCATATTTATCATTATAAATGTATGTGGTGCGGTTTCTATGAGAATGATGTTTAACATGAGAACGTGAGAACACTCATATTTAATCTAATGTGATACACATTGTTCTAAAACTCGCTAGGCGCTAGTCGGGCGGTTGAGGGGCGCCTAGCGCCTAGGCGGCCGACTAGGCCGATTTTTTGGCCGACTAGGCCGATTTTTTCGGCCGACTAGGCCGATTTTTCGGCCGACTAGGCCGATTCGGCCTCTACGGTTAGGGCCGCCTAGGCCGATTAATCGGTCCGCCTAGGCCGATTTTTAGAACAATGGTGATACATAATAGAGCCCTTCTACTGCACATTTGGACTTTGCTCAATACAAGCTAATAGTAATAAGAGAATTACTGTCATGTTTTGACAGTACCAGACTTCAAACATGACAGTATTTTCCAAACTTGACAGTAATTACTCCTATTTTGGGAATAAAAACATGACAGTCATATTTTGGAATTTTCAAACTTTTTTAGTCCTATTTCGGGAACTTTCCCTAGAAATAATCACGGTTGCACTTTTATAAATATTATGCTTGATACGAAAAAGTGCATTGTGCGAGCCCATTGTGCGTCACATTGGGGGAAAATGTGGTGTTCGCACGTTTTCACATTAAGCATTGTTCTCATTTGATCATTATTATATATATCTACACAAACGCAAATATTATATGCATCCCTGAAGTATTGTGTTTGTTAAAAATTAATACTGCCAATTTTAATGATTTTTCTATTTGAGTAAATTTTGTGAATCGAAGACAATTAAAGTGAAAATATAAGTAAACATATTATCATCATGTACATCGTTTCAAAATTCTCAACAATTATAATACAATTAATTACATATTACATTTAAATGTGTGTATTTATTTACTCACTCTTAAAAATCATATAACATTTATGATAAATATTTTTAATCATTACTAGCTTATTATTATTCTAGTATAATATGTATTAGTTCATTAACCATATAGGACTAAACCGTATACAATTATGTATGTCTATATGTATATGTATATGTGTTTGTTATATACTACGTATAATTTAATTTAATATGTTTGTACATTATTTATATATGTGTGTATATATGTTTGAGTATATATTTATAATGGGGGACGGGGCGCGGAGGGTGTAGCAATTCCCGTCCCCCACCCCATATTTTAACGACGTAAAAATATCTCACCCATCCCCGTCCCCACCCCGCCCCAATCCCCGCCCCATCTTTCCCCCGCGGGGCGGTTCCCCACGGGTCCCCGCCCCCATTGCCATCCTTAGTGGGAGGTCTCGAGTTCGAATCTCGCTAGGCACAGAAGGGTTTGAAACTCAATGAAGTGAGTTTCAGCCCTGATTACTCCAGGCTCCCCCAGATCCCCTCCCCCAGACCCCTTGGAGCAAAAAATATTGCTCTACTCTTTTTTCTAATGGAAAATCAAGTCTATGTGAAAACCCTCTTATATTTCCTTTTCAGAATTAATAAAATGACTAGAAAAGGTGCACTTTTCTTCTGACAAATTTCGAATTCCGAAAGAGGTTAGGTGTTTTTTCCCTTGCACAGTTGCACCCAGCACCCTAGAATGGCTCCCAACTTATGTGCTTTGAAAAAACTAAGTTTTGTTTTTCATTTTGAATTCTGTCATACAGCAACGAAGAAGTAATTAAGAAATGATAAAGGAGGAATTGAAGAAGAAATAAAGGAAAACAGGATGAATGAGAAAGGGAGAAAGAAGCAAAATCTGGAAATAATATTAATATTCAATTAAAGAAGAAAAATGAAAACAAAGAGGGGGTGAAGTACATATGAAAGTGTGGTCGAATTGCAAACAAAGTGAGGACTAAATTCTAAATAGACAAAAGCTAACGAACGATACCGACACAAATAGAATTCAACTCTGCTATAGGTATCCCAATTGGTATCCCAACCTATTTTTGTGGCTCACAAAAACTCATCTCGATAAATGAATTGCCCCATTTTAATGAGGTGCTTTTGTGATCCACAAAAATAGAAGAGGGTACAAATTGAGGTACCAATAAGGGTACCTTTCGCATTTTTCAATAGAATTATTACTCCGTATCTTACATGTCCAGTCAAATTCCATCAATTTTAGTGTACCAAAACCTCAGGTTGGTTTTCAATAAAAAAAATCCTCAATTTGGTAACGTAACTTTGAGCGACTTGTCAAAGAACTCCCAAACAATAGTCCGTTGGATAACAAATAAATCGCCATTAATGAAAATTGCCTCACTATTTTCCTTGTCGGGATTAACGAAAGGAATTGACAGAAAACTGATTAATTAAATCGTGACTAATTAGAATTGACTGAAAACTTTCACGGATTTACAATAACTCTTGTTGAAGTATGAACGTTTGTGAGTTAGAATTGTGATGTTTTTATTCTTTAAATCAGAGTAATTTGAGTTACATTTTAGTATTAGGATGTTTTCTTTTGGACTGAAATTTGCTGGTTTGGTCTGGTCTGAACTGGTCTGAACTGGTCTGGTCTGATAAACGTCTGGTCTCAATGTATTTTATAACTACGGAAGTCAAGTCTAGTCTGGTCTGGTCTGGTCTGATCTGATCTGGTCTAAGGATGTTTTCTATTGGACTGAAATTTGCTGGTCTGGTCTGGTCTGATCTGGTCTGGTCTGGTCTGTTTAAGTCTGGTCTGGTATGGTCTGAACTGGTCTGGTCTGGTAAACGTCTGGTCTCTGTGTATTTTATAACTGTCCAAGTCTGGTCTGGTCTGGTCTGGTCTGGTCTGTTTAAGTCTGGTCTAGTCTGGTCTGGTCTGTTTAAGTCTGGTCTGGTCTGGTCTGGTCTGGTCTGGTCTGGGGCTGAAAACAGTCCAAAAGAAAACATCCTAAGACTGAAAATAGTCCAAAAGAAAACATTCTTACAAGACTTTAAATTTGTGAGTATTTTTCAATTTAGCAGTAACTACTTTTTTTTTTTTAAAGAGCAGTAACTACTCTTATTTAACGAATAAAAACATGATGACTTTGTTTTAAAATTTAGAAATTGCTTAAGGTAGGACTAAAATATACACAAAGTTTAAAAAAGGACTAATATACTTTATCTCTAAATATGAATTATTTAATTCTATTAACATAGTTGATTAATATTTCCTAAAATATTGAGTGAAGAGTTCCATTTTGGGAATAAAACAAAGGTAATCCTATTTATGATCTTAATTTTTGTTTTAGTACGTTTTATACTTTTATTTAGAGCATCACCATTCGTAATCTCTAAAAATCAATATATTCTATGATTCTTACCTTTTAAATATTGTTACATAATTAATTTTTAATTAATCTCAAAATTCGTTTATGCATCTCAACCATCATCTTCAAATAATCCGCTTTTTTCTCAGCCATGCATTAACGTATTACATATACTTTTCAAATAATCTTAAAATAATCCGGATTCATATTTTGATCCCGGATTATTCTAGCAAATAATCTCATTAAATAATCAATGTCTCTCAATGATACTCCTCCAAAAAATCCGCCATGTCATCAATTAAATCTCCTAATAATCCTTCCAATGAGGATGCCCTTAGAGCAACTCCATTGATGATACTCAAATAAACGATTTTTTTGTGCCACATCATTGCCACATATGAAATCATAAATGATATGAAATATTGCTAACTTTCTCTCAATCATGATTTTAGATTATTGTGATTTTTTTATAAAAAGTATTAAGAGCAACTCCATTGATGATACTCAAATAAACGATTTTTTTGTGCCACATCATTGCCACATATGAAATCATAAATGATATGAAATATTGCTAACTTTCTCTCAATCATGATTTTAGATTATTGTGATTTTTTTATAAAAAGTATTAAAAGAGTATCTCTCATACAAACACATGTTTGAACGACTAGAAATTAATGCACCAAGCCACCAAGGTTTTTTTTTAAAGAAAGCTACCAACACGTATAGTTACTTTGTTTTCTCCAATTTAATTTTTTTCTTTTATTCAAGTCATGAGTTGTACTATAAAAAATAATCCAACAAAAAATGTTACTGAAAATCATAACCATTCAATTTTATTAATCACATATATTAATATATATGTATTTTTAATATGTATTTATAACCATTTCTTTTGTGGGTGCCTATTATTATTTAAATTTAAAAAATGCTAATTCAATTATTGCAATCTTTTAAAATTAAAAGATAATACATACCTTTTAAAATGATGATGCATGCTATTCAAAAAAATGGAGCTACGTGCTATTCAAAAAAATTGAAGATACGTGCTATTAAAAAAATGAAGCTGCATATCACTTTTTTAATCAAATAATTTTTTTAAATGAACATGTACTACGGGTAGTATGGAGGAGCAAGACTTTGCTAATTGCTACTAACTACTTACCATGAAAAGAATTAGAGGTAAACAAGGAAACAATCACACGGTTATCCCAATTTTCTATATATGTTGGAGAAATCATTTAAAATAATCTGGTTTCAAAACTTGATGCTGGATTTTTTTTACAAATAATCTTTGCAAATAATTTCTTTATCTCAATCATAATCTCAAAAAAATCAACCACCTCATCAAATTAATCTCTAAATAATCTAAACAATGGGGTTGCTCTTAGGAAATTTTGTATTTAAAGTTCTAAAACGTTATTATTACTCCCATTTAATTTCCATCTTTTAATAGAATTTTGTATAATGTTTAAAATTACATCTCCACAACATTATCTCTCTCTTTAGTTTCATTCCACTACATTTATCTTCATGCGGTATTAAATTAAGAAATTGATATTTTTCTATAAAAGTAATCGGGGTAAATATAGCTAGAATTTTTTTGGAGGGGCAGCAGCCCCCCTTTGTCACCCGTTGTGTCCGCCACTGATCACATCAGAACATACTTAAATAGATCCAATCAGATCATTCTTACACAGTTATAAAATACATATAGATAATACATTTATCAGATCAAACCAGACCAGTTCAGATCAAACTTAAACATATCAAGCCAGACTAGACCAGCTAATAATATATAGTCGAAGAGAAAACATCCTATATCATATGAAGTATATGTTATTCTTTTATTCAAACGAGACCATATTACCTATGTTGTAATTGAGGTTTGTATGAAGGAAGAAAAATAAGCTAAAACACAAATTCATGAGTTTAAAATGAAATTAGCAAAAAATTCTAAACAATAAAAAATGTAAAGTTGACAAAGTTCATTGGGACAAACAAGTGCGAGTCGGGCCTTATAATATAGGAACAAAGCGGGTTAGAGTCGGGCCCAAGTTTTTTTTTTTTTGTTGAAACTTGAAACTAGGATTGGGCCCTAATTTTTAAAAACTCAAATTGGGGAAGGGTGGTTGTTAAAGAATTTACGAACCAATCGACCTGTTTTAATAAATCATATGAAAAAACTCTATTTTTTTATTATAGTAGTAACTCAAGGAAGCTACTCATATAGTCATATTCTTGTGTCTCAAAATAAAACTGTGATGTATTATTAAAAAGAGTTCCAAACTCCATGTAACTTCCTATATCTTTATCCACACTCGAGATGCATCAAATTTCCTTTAATTATTGTTTTTGTAGTTTTTGTAGACAAAGACTCTTACTCGATAAAGTGTTGTTTACACACTAGATTTTGTCTGTAAGAATGCACAGAACAATATAGAGTAAAAATTAATTTTATTATGTATTTAGATTGATAGGTTTTGCAAGTTGTTTAAGTAAACGTATTTGTTAATAATGTACTATCGTATGAGATACAAGGTACTTTTTATAGTAAATATAATGTTATTAATAGGATGAATACGATATGTTGGATGTAGGATGTTTTTAATTGGACAAAAAATTTTCTAGTGTAGTCTGGTTTAATCTGATTTGTCTGTTTAATTCTGGTCTTCACGGGAAAATGAACATTTTTCATCGTGCTTTTGTATATAGTTAGATAATACTCCGTAGTTTGCAAACAAATTGTAAGTTGCGAAAAAGCTAAAATACGTGCAAATAGATTGTTATTGATTTTACATATAATTGTCAGTTATACCCACGAGAATCTAAACGTTAAATGAAATTCGATCCTGAATTGTACACACCCCAGGGGCGGAGCAAGGACACTGAGTCGACATAGAGAATATTTTTGAAAAAAAATTACACGAAATGTTTTAACAAAAATATTAAACATTTTTAATATTTGGGGTGGGTCAGGGTCCTCCCCTAGCTACGCCCCATACACACTTAGTCTCAATACTCCATAATGGAGTCAATAATTTGAGCATACCCGAACCATACTTGTGTAGTTGTGTAGTGCTCGTATTAAATATTTAAATTAGAAAAATATTTTGAAATTCTACGGAGTATAACAGTAAAATATGACACATCTACTAATACTAATACGGCGTATGAAAAACGAACAGAAAGGAAAAAATGAATAGAAAGGAAAAAGCAGCAAGGAAGAATGAATAACTTAGATCCTGTCATTTGAGAATATCAAATTATGGGCTATCATAACCGGATAGTAGCCGGCCGAGATTTATATTGTTATTTTTTTTTCTAAAAGTTTTTTTGTGCTATTTTTTTTTTATTTTTTTCACTCTAGCGGGGGCTGGAGGGTTTGGAGTGAACATGGCCGAAGAAAAAGAAGAATAAGTAACATTGCTAGTTGCTACCCTTCTATAAGGGTAAAAGAAAAAGGATTACACTCCATCTCGGAGGACCCCCAACACCGACCGGTCGGCACGATAGGAGAATGTAAATTGGACTATAATCACAATCTGACAGATAGAGATTAGAGCTCTGTCCCCTGTACTTGCAGAGGCCCTATGCATTTTTCAGCATAGTAACCCCTCATCGCAGTTGCCGGGATTCGAACCCGAGACGTAACCCTTGTGGCACTCTCTCGCTACCAGTTGAGCTACGCCCACCGGTTGGAAGGATGTAAATTGGACTATAATCACAATTCACAATCTGATAGATGGAGAGTGGGTAAAAGAAGAAAAAGTAATTTGAACCAGTTTCTTAAGAAAACAGTGAATAAATATTAATCATCACTCATCAGTAAACAGGAAAAAAATCAAACGTGAAGAAAGAAAGGGAAGAAAGAGCAGACCCGGATTCAAGTTCGAAGGGCAGCGGGCCGTCGAACCCGGGCAGAAACTTCACCGGAGAACCTGCAGCGCCAGTTCTAACAAATAGCTTGGAACAAAGATGTAAAAAGAAGGCAACCAATACCACAACTTTCTTAACCATTTCTTCTTACTATCTTTTTTTCTTGGCTTTCTAGGTGTGTAAAATAAAGTGGCTTTTAGTAAAGTTAGAGAAAAACAGGGGCTCTAGCCTATATTTATATAGAGACAGGAGACTTGATCATATGATTGATTCTTTTTAAGTTTTAAATAAAATAAACGACGCCCGCTAATATTGACTAACAAAAATTACAAGCATCGTTGATGGAGATGGCTACCCAAATTACAAATTACTAGTGTTGTCACCCGTTTCAAACCCCAACTCTGGTTTCCGGTTCAAAATTTCACGAAACCAGATCGGAATTGAATAGCATCGGTTTTTAGGATGTTTTTATTGCTGGTCTGATCTGGTCTGGTCTGGTCTGGTTTGGTCCCGTAAATGTCTGTCTCTGAGTATTTTACAACTATAGAAATTTGGTCTGGTATGGTCTGGTCTGAACTAGTCTGATCTGATTTGTTCTGGTCTGTTCAAATTTGACCTGGTCTATTCTGTCGCTGAAAATAGTCCAAGTAAAATCATCCTTAAGCCATTCTGGTTTCAATCTAATAAGGTTTTTGAGTTCCACTTTTTTTATTGAAAATTTCAATTGTTTGCTCATATAGATTAATTAACAATTGAAGTGAGTATAACTTTCAAAAGGAATGAATAGAGCGAGCGAGAACAAGAAATATTTCAAATGAACATACTACCTCCGTTCTTAAATAAGTGCAACATTTCAAATTTTACACTATTCACATGTTCTACTTTGACTACATTTTATTTATTAATGTATCAATATATTTTTTTGAAAAAATATTACTAAATTTGTCTCATTATAAATATTCAAAATATCATTTTTTAATTTTTTTTACTAATAGAGAATTATATATATTAATGGTCAAAGTTGTGGCTCGGCAAATGTGACATGTTGACTGTTGCACTTATTTAAGAACGGTGGTAGTATATAGCAGTTATGACTTATGAGTATACAGCTTAAGAGATTGTCCATTGGCATAACATTATAAAATGAGGAATTGTAATTACTTTCATAATAAGATTGTTTGTATTGGCAAAGCTATAGTTGAATAAACGAACTACTTATGTTACTTTTGTTGGAATATATTATCTCGATCTGTTACTGTTCAGAAGTCCAAAGGATCGCCCAGTATGGAGCCCGAATGACGAGGCCCATTTTCGGCCTATCAGACCTGTTCCGGCCCCTCTTCCCTATAAATAGGAAGCTTCCCCTCCATGTTAGGGGTTGGCTTCTCTTCTCCTTTCTATCTTCTTCCTCATTAGCATAGGACAACTTAATACTCCATTAATGAGAGCTTTGTACGATAGTACTATGTAATAATGGTTAGGAGACTATTAATAAAATGAGAGAGCTTGGACAATAGCCTAAAAAGTCTCGTGATTTTCTCCCTTTCAGGTTTCCACGTAAAAACAGAGTGTTCATACAGCATTTACAGGTTTATTTACTATTTCGTGTTGGATTGAACTCAACAACTTTAATTTATAATTAATATATAACATGTATGGTTTATTCAAATGAGTTTTATGTTATATTTAAATGAGTATACGTTTAAAAAGCGTGCAATCTATGATATTATAAAGGGAATAACAGAAATTTCAAATGAGTATATAGTAATTATGAGTATTGCTTACATATTTGTGAATTGGTAACATATAAATGAGCACTACAAAGTTGATGTAATTACAAATTCTCTTTTCGTAAAAAGGTTTTTATTTTGTCATTACAAAGCTACTACTACACGTCTCATTAGAAGGTTACAGTCCACTATTCATATGGTCAACTTAAATCACTTTTGATCTTTTGCTTTATATATTAATTTTTTTATATCAAATTTACACTTTTTTATCAGGCTTTGTAGCGGTTTTAATGTAGTTCTGAATATGTGAATTTAATTTACTAAAAATAATCAGAGTGTGAACAGGGATTCAGTTGTTTTATCATCAGTCAAACATCGTAAATCGTAATGAGAACCTTCTAGCGGGATGAAGGGGGTACTAATTAAGATTTGAATGTATATATATTGTGTGTGAATATCGAAATGAGTTTTATCACACTTTATGTTATACATAAAATGACTATAAATGTATAATCTCTATAAGAAATTTGCACTGATATGACAATATAAAATGCGTACAACAGAAGTCCACTAGTAAAATTATCAGCACAGTCATAAACAAGTCAATGTCTCACTTGTAAAGATTAATCTTGCATGAAAGTCAAAAAGTAACGATTGACAAAGGGAAGAGTATGCGACATGGAAATAACTGTGTTAAACGTGGTATCATTTGACAAAATGAATTAATCAACTCGATAAATCATTAAATGTTGTGAAATGAAGAAGATGAAGAACAGATTTAAGAGATAGATATATTGATAATAAACTCTAAATAACTTCTTCTTAATCTTTGAAATCTCTCAATTTCTGAATGAATTTACAAGGCTTCATCAAGCTCCTATTTATAGTGTTTGAGCTTGATGATTAGTCACCTAAATGATGAGTCTACAGATTTGGTGGCAATAACAAATTGAGTCACCTCTTCTAACTATGTTACAAGGATCATTACAAGGATGATGAATAGCTAGGTGTCCTAATGACAAGGATGAACAAATCACACTTGTCATCCCCAGGATTTTACAACACTCCCCATTGAATGTTCATCCTTGATTAGGTATTTGTTATATTAAAATTTATTATGAAAAATTAAAGTTAAAGGGTAAGGATTACGACTTATAATATCGTTGTATTTGGATGTACTGTCTCGTTAAAAACCTTATCAGGAAAAACCCAGTGGGATAAAAACCTGATGAAGGGAAAAAGAGTGCAGTGCATTCAAATACTCCCCCTGAATTTAGCATAAATTACGAAGGCGGCGCATGCCAATTTTTTGTACAAGTTCCATGAATTTCTTCGAGGGGTAATGATTTGATGAAGAGATCAACTGGATTTTCACTGGATCTGATTTGTTGAATGTTGATCGTCCCTTCTTTCTCAAGGTCATGAGTAGAGAAAAACTTTGGAGATATGTGCTTCGTTCTATCTCCTTTGATGTAGCCTTCTTTAATTTGAGCTATGCATGCAGTGTTGTCTTCGTAGATCAAAGTCGGGTGACAACTAATAGGTTTCATACCACATTCATCTTGGATGTGTTGAATCATAGATCGCAGTCATACACATCCTCTTCCGGTTTCATATAGTGCAATTAACTCCGAATGATTTGATGATGTAGCTGTCAACGTCTGTTTCATAGATCTCCACGAGATTGCGGGATTACCATAAGTAAATATGTACCTGGTTTGTGATTTTGCCTTTTGAGGATCTGATAAGTATCCGGCATCTGCATATCCGATTAAAGAAGTTGTTGCATCTTTGTGGTAGAATAGGCCGAGATCAACTGTACCATGGAGATAACGGAATATGTGCTTGATCCTGTTCCAATGACGTCTTGTTGGACATGAGCTGTACCTAGCTAATAAATTTACAGAAAATGCAATATCTGGTCTAGTATTATTAGCTAAATACATTAAAGCTCCAATAGCACTCCGATATGGTACTTCGGGACCGAGTATTTTGTTCGTCGTCTTCTCGTGGACGGAATGGATCGTCGTGTATGTTGAGAGATTGAACCACCATTGGTGAAGTCAATGGATGAGCTTTGTCCATATGGAATCTCTTCAAAACTTTCTCGGTGTAATTGGATTGGTGTATAAAAACTCCATTCTTCAAATGCTCAATTTGAAGTCCGAGACAAAATTTGGTTCTCCCGAGATCTTTCATTTCAAATTCTTTCATAAGATATTTTGCAGTACATTCAATTTCATCGGGAGTTCCAATAATGTTGAGGTCATCAACATATACTGCAATTATGGCGAATCCCGAATTTGATCGCCGAATGAAAACACTTGGACTAATTCGATCATTCTTATATCGTTCTTTGAGAAGGTATTCACTGAGACGATTATACCACATTCGTCCAGATTGTTTTAGTCCATACAATGACTTCTGTAATTTAATGGAAAACATGTCTCGAGATTTCGAGCTAAAAGCTTCAGGCATTTTAAATCCCCCGGGAACTTTCATATAAATGTCTTTATCGAGTGAACCATATGAATATGCAGTCACTACATCCATTAGGCGCATTTGCAGCCTTTCAAAAACAGACATGCTAATGAGAAACCTTAATGTAGTTGCATCAACTACTGGAGAATAGGTTTCTTCATAATCGATTGCCGGCATTTGAGAAAAACGTTGGGCAACAAGTCGGGCTTTATCACTAGTAGAAATATGTCTTACAGTGACACTTTGTTAATGACACTTTCTCTATAGTGTCACTAAGAGATGACATATGATATCTTATAACATATAAGTGTCAATAATTGTTGACATAATAGTATCAACGAAATATAATGACACTAATTTAAAAATTATGTCAAATTTTCGGTTGTTTGGTTCAAAAGTTTAAACATTTATCGGAAAAAATTCAGCTCTCCTCCCAACATTTCATTTCCCTCCATCCATATCTTGACTCCTCTGTCTTCTCTTCTAGTAACCTTTCTTCAGTTCCCCAAAATCTCACACCCCTGTCGTAGGAGAGCAAGAAGGCTGCAAGGCAATCGGGGTAGTTTCATCTCCGATCGACTATGTCCCCCCGTGCTCGCTTCTTGCGACCTCCACCACCGACCTCACTTTTTGCGATCTAGCTCGCCGACCTCGCTTCGCTTCTTTTGACCTCACTCTCCGACCTCCTTTCTTGCGACCGCGCTCAGCTACTCATCATACGGCTTCCTAGCTGATGAATCCCCTGTCTCCTTTTCCGAATTCCAAGCTTAGCCCAAAAAACTGACGACGGCGAAAATATAGACCAGGTATTCGAATCTGAGCTAGCTATAGTCAATTGAGCTATTTAATGATTTCTTTTGGGCATTAGTATCTCAAATTCATAATAACGGGTTGTTTAACACTCTAATCTTGTAGTAAGCTTAAGTAAGAGTTCGTGCATAACTGCATATTAACTAATTGTGAAAAACCTAGATCAGGATTGCTACTCAACTATTTGGTTGTCTACTCATTTTCTAATGTTAGTTCTATGTATTTTATG